CCACGGGGGCAAGCGCTGGCCTTGGGCTGCCCTCTGCCCTCCCGTTCTGGGCAGAGCTGTGTCCAGCAGCCCTGCCCCTCTGGGCTGCGAGTCCAGCTGCCCCCAACTTCCTCTCCCTTATCTCACAGGAAGAGCCGGCCGTGGAGGAGACACCGTGCGCGCAGTATGGCGGCCGGAACAAGGTCTTGCTTCGTGCGAGTCAGCTGGGCCCTGGACCCACTGGCCCGAGCACCAAGCCCCGCAGGGCAGACAGGCTGCTTTCTCGGCAAGGAGGTGGGGACCATGGCTCTGTTCTCTCCACAGCACCTGGCGCATGAAGACCAGAGGGCGGGGCCGGGACCCGTCCACACCGCCTGGCCCGACGCTGGTGAACGGGGCCAGGACCGGGCACTGAGGACAGTGGAAAACACGCACACACACACAGGCACGTGCACACGCATGTGCACACACACATGCAGGTATGGGCATACACACATGTGCGTGTGCACACGCACACACAGGCATGTGTACCAGCACACAGGCATGTGCGCACACGCGCACATGCAAACACACGTGCATGTAGGCTTGTGCACACACGCACATGTGCGCACACAGGCACGTGCACCAACACAGGTATGTGCACACATACACGTGTGCACATAGGCATATGCACACGTGCACACACAGGAGTGTGCACACAGGCATGCACACACGCAGGAGTGTGCATGCACAGGCACGCGCACACCCCCGCTGCACGGTGGGAGGAGGGCGGTGGGTTCCAACAGAATGGCAGCTGCTCTGAGATGGGCCTCTCGGGCGGGCGCCTGCTCAGGACACAGGTGGATGCCGAGTGCAGGCTGAGTCAGACCCAGGTGGGACATTACGGCGCATAATCGAGTTTGTTGCGGACTTCTGTGCATGGAGGGAGCCAGGAGAACACGTGGGTTATCGCAAGGCAATTTGAAGCAGACACATAATCCGCGTGACCACGTCTGTCACGGTGCTGTTCTACATAACGAATTCACACTTCGACCAGCTTTACATCACCCGAGGGCTGTCTCCCCCCGCACCCCGCTGTCCCGGGCAGGTGGCAGGGTGCAGAGGCCCCTAGGTTCCAAATAGCGGAGCTGGAGCCGAGCAGTGGGGCAGAGCACCTGTCCCCAGGGTCGCTTGGGAGGCAGTGGGAGCAGGGGCGCCAGCTGGGTCCGGGGGCCAGAGCAAGGCCAGTGCCATCAGCCAAGGCGGCGGTGCGGCGAGAGGGCACGGTGCCCGTGGGTGCCACTGGAGACAGCTGGCGGTGCATGCTGTCTGTCACATGGCCCCTTCTCCAGAGCTTCCCGTGGTCAGAGTGGCAGAAACATTCCTACCAGTGGGGGCGCGGGGGCCGGGGCCAGGCAGCTCTGAGCCCAGCTTGTACGTGGGCCTCCCAGAACGACTGGCCACGCCGGCCCGCACGCCTGGCTGTGCCTGGCCCCGGGGCCCAGACTGGCCACCTCCCTGTGT